TTATCTGTAGCTGAACAGTTTTTTCTACACGAGCAACGTGACCTCAAAGTGCAGAAACAACGACTTTATCTTGCGGTTTGCAGAGCGGCGGCGCTGCAGCTGTAGCTCGTTCTGCACAACGCGCCGCGACACTCGAGCTCCAAACGATCCTATTTTTCACCCCGAGTGCTTCCTGAGGCGGCACCGCGTCGCGTTTCCTGACGGCTGCCGGTCGTCCTGGTGTGGCCGTCCCTCCGCTCGGCCACCGTTTGCTTCGCTGAATCGCAAAACAGCTGCCGTCTGGGCTCATTAGCTGGACTCGGGGCGTACGAGTCGGCCGGCGCCATACAGGTGTGGGAGTGAAGAGCAAAGGCAGCGAGGAGTGGAGCGCTGTGCTGCCCTGAACCTGGACCCTGTTCCAGCACCAGAACTTCCCGTTACACAGCCGGTGATTATGCAGGACTGGATGCACTCTGGCCACAAAGCACACGATGATCTGTGGTTTCACTGGTTAATGACTGCCTGCCACATTTTGGTAATTATTAAGTTACAGATCTGATTTCCACTCGTGTAATTACATGTGAGGACACGCCGATGACACCGGCCTGTTCCCGACTCCTCGCCTCCCAACCATCCATCACCGCCGCTCCACAACACGACAGCCGGATGCGTCGCCTCCGACCAGAAACGAATTCAACGGCTGTAATTGTTGGCGGCTTTTTCCAGAAACACCCACGGCGAGCGGCGCTGCACGGGGGATGAAAACAAACCGGCCCACTGACACCGGAGCCAGAAGACTGATTCTGAAGGGCGGACGGACAGATGTTCCATTCAGATGACTGTCAATAAAAACGTCTCCTGCTTTACTCGTCGCCTTCATGAAGAGCGTCTCTGATGGACTGTTTACAGCCTCCATCCCACGTCGCTGTGATGGAGCTTTCTGCTCCGTACAGTCGGAGGATTGTTGGCTTCAGAAAGTCCAGCAACACCCCAGTGTTGGCTGAGCTGTGGACCACCCTGCTGGCAGCACCACGCTGCTTCCAAGCCTGTTAGATCCCACTCTGAGTAATCCGTTCACACGCAGAACAAGTGAAAGAAAAAAAAAAAGAGGAGTTTGTGTCCGCGGAGCCGCCGAGTGCTTCGGTCACCGAGTTTAGCTTCCTGGAATTAAAGCGGCAGAATGAATATTCATGGCTCCCACTCGAGTTCCGCTGGATGGGTTTGAAGAATAGACCCTCGACTGCAGGTAATTGGCTCATTGATAAACTCATTAAGAATGTTAAATGTGATGCAGAGTAAAGGAAAAGAAAAAAAAAAACGGGGGGAGGAGGATAATAAATCTGCGCTCTGCGTTATGAGGACGACGGCTCCAGCTCCAATTTGTTTCTGTGGATAAAACGTTTAGACGCGAATCGGTCGCCGGCGTTTGTTCAGCTCATCAGCACGTTCTGAGGCTTCCTGGATCTTCAGCGAGGATTTAAACACTCGTTAAATATCTACAGAATGATCCACAAAGAACTGGAAAGAAAAGATGAAGGTCTGGCAGCAAGAAGGCCAAAAACAGAAAGGTGTTAAAAATGAGGAAATATTCAAAAACCTAAACACTACTTTAGCTGATTTAAATTCATTTATTTAAACCAATAAAACTACTTTCATGTAGACGTGATGTGAGTAGACGTACAGGTCGGTTCTGATGGAGGCGAAGCCGTCCACACGCTTCTCGGCTAAACTTTATCTTTAAAAGCAAATCTGGCCAAGAGACTCACGACCAGAGAGCTAATGACCAGAGCGGAGAGGACGGAAGCAGCACCAGAGACTCGGGACGGAGGGAGGATCCCTTTTTAATCGGTACTGATCCGTTTGTCGGACCGGTCCAAAGCCAACTTAACCCAAACCAGCCAATCAAAGAGCACAATCAGCCGAGACGCCGATGAGGAGCCGAGCTGGACCGAGTCCAGCGCCTGCAGTCAGGAGGAAGTCGTCGGGTCCGACCGGCCGAGTCC